GGGGTTACAAACGAGAAGGAGAAAGGAGGGGTATGCGAAAGGCCCGATCGGGTCCGACCGGGAGGGCCGAGGACGACTGGAACTCCGCTATGAGCTAGGTGTTCAAGCATGTGCTTGAGGGGTTTCGTGAGCTATCGATCTAGTGAGTCTGAACTTGAAGAAGTGGTCCTCCTCCGTTGGAGGGAGCGCATCCCCTTTTATAGATAAAGGGGATGGCTTTACAGGTGAGAGGGAGAGAGTACGGATGTTTCTAAGCCTTGTTGCCCACCCCGATGAGGGTAGCGATGATGGTAGGCACCCACAATACTGTTGACGTCACTGTAGAATGTTAGGTGCACATGGGAGGTTGTGTTGGCTTCTTCAGGAAGGGTGGATGTTGGTACCTGCAAAATATTGTTTGGTGTGTGAGGAGCCCTACCACGTATACCAGGTATGGTGAATCCTGGCGCCCACTACCGATGCCCGGAGGCATGTGGGGGGCTTTTTGCCGTATGGGAGTCCAACGACGCCTATAATACTGTAGACACAAATGTCGGCGTCTACAATACTGCTTGTGTTAGGACGATCATGGAGCACTGCTCCCACATGCGTACAGGGTATGGTCCCGGTATCATGGTTTGACTTAGTGCGCTGCGTTCTCCATTCGCCCCTAGTCCCTTCCAAGCGGGCGTCCCCGGTCGGATGGCTCCAGTCGGCCCTAGCCGCGCCAGTCGGAGAAGAGCGGTACGCAGGCTTCCTACGGGTCCCCGGTTGGAGTCACAGGGTTGGAGTAGGAAGCAGTGTTTTGGGCCAGGCCTTTCGATCGGAGAGACCGCCCGGAGGCGGCTGGTGCCCGAGGCGAGCGCTCCGGTCGGAGGTGGGCCGAAGAGGTTGATGAGCGGGCGTTCATTCTCTAGGGGACCTTCCGGTCGGTGACTGGACTGTCCTTCCGGCCCATCATATTCTTAGACCTTCGGGCTGGCCCATGAACAACATACTATTTTCCTGGGCCGAGACCTGGCGCGGAAGCCGGTACCCGAGGGACCCGGGTTTGTGAACCCGACAAAAGCTGAAGTACTCAAAAGCTTAGTTTGGATTGAAGGTAGCCTTGGATCAAATTCATGGTAAGTATGAGGAAAGCTTCCAACTTCTTTTCAATTGGGCTGCTCAACTACAACAAAGTTCACCTGGAAGTCATGTAGAAATAGAGTCAGAGAAGATTGGTAAAAAGAATAGGTTCAAGAGGGGTTTTGTTGCGTTGAAGCCATGCATTGATGGATTCCTTGCTAGTTGTAGACCCTTCATAGGAGTAGATGCATCTTTTTTGCATGGAAAGTACACTGGACAGTTGGCTTCAACAACTGGTGTTGATGGGCATAACTGGTTGTACCATATAGCATATGTTGTATTTGACTCAGAGACTGAGGTTAACTGGAAGTGGTTCCTAGAGAATTTGCACAAAGTCATAGGAGACCCACTAGGACTAGTCTTATGTTCAGATGCTTGTAAAGGTTTAGAGAAAGTAGTAGGGGCTATTTTTCCACAAGCTGAAAACAGGGAGTGCACGAGGCACATGTATAGCAACTTCATGAAACACTACTCAGGGGCTGTTTTCACTGACCATCTATACCCTACAGCCAGGAGCTACACTGAATATATGTTCAGGTGGCATATGAAGAGAATTTTTGAGTTTGCTCCAGCTACAATTGACTACCTTGAACAGCATCATGCTAGGATATGGTACAGAAGTGGCTTCTCTGAGGAAATCAAATGTGACTATTTGACTAATAATGTGTCTGAGAGTTTTAATGCTCAGATCAAGCACTTGAAAGGACTTCATGTCCATGAGCTAGTTGACAGGATAAGGGAGCTCATAATGGAGAAAAGGTACATCAGAAAGAAGATTGCACAGCAATGGGGAGATGGAATCCTACCAAGTGTTATGAAGGAATTGAATTTTATAAGCAACAATCTAAAGGTGGTCAAGGTTACAGTAAGTGATGAGGACTTTGCAGAAGTGACCTTGATTGATGAATGGAACAAGCACAGCTTTGGCATGGATACTTTCTAATAGAGGTTTGCAGATAGTTGACTTTGTGCATGAGTATTACTCAGTTGCATGGTTCAGAGCTGCCTATGAAGGCAGAGTTGAACCAATGATAGACAAATCCTAGTGGCCAAAGGTTAATCTTGGGTTCAAGGTTTACCCACCTTTGCTGGGAAGACCACCAGGTCGGCCAAAGGTGCAAAGGCAAAGGGGTTATCTAGAGAAAAATGCCAACAAAAAGAAAGTGAGATGCAAACGGTGTGGAGGTTTTGGACACTTCTCCAACACATGCAAGCTTGAGATGGTTGGAGAGGATGGTGAAACTACTACAACAAAGAAAAGGTTAGCTTTACTTTGAATTATTTACTGTTATTTGTGTTTTAGTTGAATTATGGTTACCTTTACTTTGAATTATTTACTGTTATTTACTGGGGGAAAAATGCATGTACAGGAAGAGGACAGATTGCACAGCTGATGATGCTGGACCATCAAAGGGGAATAAAAAGAAGGCAACAAAGAAAAAGAAAACTCCAAAGAAGAAAAAACACCCTTGAAGAAGAAACAGAAGAAGGATGCAGCTGCTCCTCCACCAAAGGTTGTCAGAAGCCTGAAGGACCTATTTGCTGATGATGGACAGTGAACCTAACGGTGGATGTGAAGCTATTTTGTGAAATGCTTTTGTTATGTAATGGTCAGTTGGAAAAGATTGTCAGGTGCCTTTGATGGCCTGTGAATTTCAGGTTGCCTGTAACGCTTGAAAACTAGAACAAGCTGAATTGATGAATTTCTGGACGCCTGTAATGCTTAATTTAGATATAGGATGCATGTCATGGCCTTTGAAATGGATGTACCGTTAGTGGCCTATTTTCTAGATGTCGAATTACTAAATGTCTGTAATGCTTGAGTACTTGAACAAGCTGAAATGCTACTGTCATTACTATTGTCAGTATGTTGTTGTCATTTTCAGTATGCCTATGAATTCATGCTGTCAATATGCTTTGTTGGGCACTTGATCATGTTGCCAGATTCCATACTGGGCACTTGCAGGTGGCGCCTTAGCATAATTCAGACATTCATGTACTGTTAGGTGAGTTATCCCCCAAAAGTTCATGCTTCCCTTTTTTTATTTCATCTCCTACTTGCTAAGACCAACAGAAGCTACATTGCATACAAATCACTACTTTCAAAGTTTACTCATAAGACAACCAATAGCTACACCTACACAGACTGCTGCTATAACAACATAATCCATCTTGATCGTCTGAACTTGCGCCTTCACCACCGAAAGATCAGTCACAAATCTGTCAAGTTTCCGCTTCATTTCATTGAGTTCTAGCTTCAGGTCCAAAATGAGGTCGACGGACCCATGTCCACCTTCTCCTGAACTCAAATGGCTCACCTTCTTCGATCAATTCTGCTGCTGCTGCTCTAAGTTGCTTAAGAATGCATCGTACTGCGCCTTGGACATTATGATGCCACATGTTGTTGGGTCACCCTGCATCCCACAAAACCCTAGCCGCATGAAAAACAACTAAGAAACTCTAAATTGAACACAAATTGACTTACTTTGATATTGTTTGGGCACTTGATGAAGGTCTGACCATAAGTGGCACGCTGTTTGCTTCTGATTCGTACCAACTGAACTCAGCAATCCGGGCACTCTACGAGTGGGTGCAGCGGCGGGCTCTAGATCCCCCAGTCCACCGAGCTAGAGCCGACCGCCACCGCTCCACTAACCTGGCTTCCACTCATCTGCGGCAATGGCAGGTGGCGCGGGCGTCGACGGCGAGATGCGCAGAAGGCGACGACGGCAATGGCAGGTGGCGCGGGCGTGCGACAGAGAAGGGGGAAGAATGAGGAAGAGTGTGAGAGAAGAACGGGGGCGTCAGAGAAGAACGGGGGTGTGCTGCTCAGCCTTATCCTCTCGTACAGGGGCAATACGGGCCCATACGGAAATACGGCATCTGCAGGTGGGCCTAGCTACGCTCTAGACGTAGAAAAAGGGCAAGGGTGAGGGGAAGCAGAATAGTAATGGCAAATAACCAATAAGATGAATTGTAATGGCGTTTTTCAAAAGTTAAAAAATTATAATGGCGAGAATCCAAAAATCCTTAATTATAATGGTATATCTCCGAATAGGTGAATTATAGTGGTGTTTCTTTAAACTTCGAAAATTGTAATGGTAGGAATTCAAATAATCCTTATTTCAATGTCCCCATTGCTGTATTTTTGTGGTCATTCTTGAGAAATACCTTTTGGTGGCCGAAGTCGCCAACCAACTGTGAAGACTTCCTTATAGAGTTTGTTGATAAATGTAGAAGAAGAAAAAATCAAAAGGTCATCTTATTCATATGCGCAGGTGCTTTATGGACCATCTGGAAAACTCGTAACGATCAGGTCTTCAACAAGAAGGTGATGACAGTATACAAAACACGGATGTTGATCAAGACATGGAGTCCCCGGTGAAACCGAAGCTGAGTTAGATGACAGAGAAAATGATTAGCCTGATCGCGGCAAACGCGCACCGAGCTTCATAGTCTATGCTTTCCGTTTGCTGTAATCTTCTTTTGGGTGGTGGTTTAATGGATTGTTAGTTGCTTAGAAGCTTAGGCTCTGTTTGGCTGGTCTATAAGTCGCTTGTGCTGATTTGTATGGCTGATTTGTTGGGAGAGAAAAATACTATATTATGACTGATAAAACGACTTATAAACCGACTTATAATGGTAGCCGAACATAGCATTAGGTTGTTGAGTTAGCAGTAAGGGTGAATGTTGAGGGTTGTTAAACTCTTTTTGGTGCGAATTCTGTAAAACTGGTAACCCAGTTCTCGGATCGTTGGCGCTTGTTACGTTTTTGATAAAGCTGGATGAATGCCTTTGATCTAAAATTAGGCGTCGCTCGCCATAACAATGGACATTCTATTTTGTGGCGGTGTCGACCGGCGATGTGGCGAGCGAATACATTGCTTCCGAAGCTACTCTCTAAGATTTGCAACATCTGACAAGAATCGGAGAAATGCCGCCTGCGACGAGCCACTGTCCTCCAGCGCTTCCTCCGTTTCTTTCTTCAGCTGCGGTGCTCGTTTCCTAAGCCTCGTCCCTTCTCCGGCCTCAAACACTTGCCTCACCTTCCCCTCTATTTCTTCAGCCTTGATGAAACCTGTCATGTAGCCCTCCATCTCCACCCCGACGCCCATGTCGTTGGTTATAAACACCTTGTTCATCCTCTGCTCCGCGCCCGCCAATGGCCAACACAGCATCGGCACCCCCGCTACGATCGCCTCCAGCGTCGAGTTCCACCCGCAGTGGGTGACGAATACGCCTGTAGCGGGGTGGTTGAGCACATCCACCTGCGGTGCCCATGACGTGACGACGAGGCCACGACCCTTGGTCCGCTCCAAGAACCCCTCCGGCAAGAGCGCGTCCAGATCCACCTCGCCACGCTGCTCCCAGTATCTTTTGGGGCCGTTGCTGCCTCGCCACGCTGTAGATACAGTGTCGTTTTGTTTTATTTGGTAATAATTGTCTAAACGTTGACTAATTAGGCTCAAAACGTTCGTCTCGCAAAGTACAACCAAACTGTGCAATTAGTTTTTGATTTCGTCAACATTTAGTACTCCATGCATGTACCGCAAGTTTGATGTGACGAGGAATCTTTTTTTTGCATAGTGCCAAATTCTGGAAAACGGGGAACTAAACATGGCCCAAATTTAGTTAGGTACAAGGTGCTAACTTCTAAGCGAGTCTCGTCACCGGGAGGCTTGGGCTGTCTTGGGTATATGAGTGGACTTGGTATGGTAGAATTGATTAAGAGAGACCTGTTGAATGGCTGCACTGTGGGTAAGATAAAGTTCTGTGAGCACTGTGTTTTTTGTAAACACAAGAGAGTAAAATTCAATGTATTTGTTTATACCACCGAAGGTACACTTGATTATGTACATGCTAATTTGTGGGGGCCGTTTCGGAAGCCCTCTTATGGTGGTGCTCGTTACATGCTTACCATTATTGATGATTACTCTAGAGAAAGTGTGGCCTTATTTTCTGAAAAATAAAGATGATACTTTTGCTGTTTTTAAGGAGTGAAAAGTTATGATAGAAAGGCAAACTGAAAAGAAGGTAAAATTGCTTCGTACTGATAATGACGGTGAATTCTGTCTGGATGCTTTTAATGATTACTGCAGGGAAAAAGGCATTATTAGGCACCACACCATCCCGTACACTCCTCAGCAGAATGGTGTGGCTGAGCGCATGAATCGAAACCATCATCTCGAGGGCTCGCTGCATGCTGTCCAATGTTCGTATGAACAGGCGTTTTTGGGCTGAGGCTGCTAATACCGCCTGTTACTTGATCAACCGGTCACCTTCTATCCCACTTAATAAGAAAACTCCCATTGAGGTATGGTCTGGTATGCCTGCTGATTATTCATAGTTGAGAGTTTTTTGTTGCACTGCTTATGCTCATGTTGATAATGGAAAGCTAGAATCTAGAGCCATTAAGTGTCTGTTTTTTATGGTTATGTAGTTAAAGGATATAAGTTATGGAATTCTAAAATTAGAAAGACTTTCATGAGCAAAAGCGTTGTTTTCAATGAATCTGTTATGTTTAATGACAGCTTGTCTATAGATGTTTCTCCAGTTGGTTCTTATGAGGAGCAGCAACATGTTAGCGTGCAGTGGAGCACGTAGATGATCAGGAAACTAAAATTGTTGATAACAATGTTCATGATATTATTCAGCACTCACCTCCTATTTTGCAGCCTCAAAATCAGTCTATTGCAGATCGCAGAACAAAGAGAAATTGTGGACCTTGTCCACGTTTAATTGAGGAATGTGATATTATTCATTATGCCTTTAGTTGTGCTGAACAGGTGGAGAACATTCATGAGCTGGCTACGTACACTGAAATTGTTGTTTCTGGTGACCGCGAGAAGTGGATTTCCGCTATGCAAGATGAGATGCAGACACTCGAAAAAAATGGCACATGGGATGTTGTGCGCTTGACTAAACAAAAGAATGTCGTTCGTTGCAAATGGATCTTCAAGAGAAAGGAGGGTTTGTCTCCTAGTGAGCCTCCAAGATTTAAGGCAAGGTTAGTAGCAAAAGGCTTCAGTCAGATTTCTGGTGTTGATTATAATGATGTGTTCTCTCCAGTTGTAAAGCATAGTTCAATTCGTACATTTTTCGGTATTGTTGCTATGCGAGATCTTGAGCTTGAGTAGTTAAATGTAAAGATTGTGTTTCTATATAGAGAGCTCAAGAAGGAGATATACATGGACCAGCCAAAAGGGTTCATAGTACCTGGTAAGGAGGATCATGTTTGCAAATTAAAGAGGTCCTTGTATGGTTTGAAACAGTCTCCTCGTCAATGGTATAAAAGGTTTGATTCTTTTATGATGTCACATTATTTTAAGAGGTATGAATTTGATAGTTGTGTGTACATTAAATTTGTTGATGGATCACCTATATACTTGCTGTTATATGTTGATGATATGTTGATTGCTGCCAAGAGAAAGAAAGAAATCACTACGTTGAAGAAATTGTTGAGTAGTGAGTTTGAGATGAAGGATTTTGGTGCTGCTAAGAAAATTCTAGGTATGGAGATTATAAAAGACAGAAATTCTGGTTTGTTATTTCTTAGTCAGCAAAGTTACATTAAGAAAGTTCTTCATCGTTTCAACATGCATGATGCAAAGTCTGTTAGTACCCCTATTGCTCCTCATTTTAAATTATCAGGTTTATAATGTGCTAGTACGGATGAGGATTTTGAGTACATGTCAAGAGTTTTATATTCTAGTGTTGTTGGTTCTTTGATGTATGTCATGGTTTGCTCTCGTCCTGATTTATCATAAGCTATGAGTTTGGTTAGTAGATACTGGGCTAATCCTGGTAAAGGACATTGGAAGGTTGTTCAGTGGATTTTCAGGTACCTTCATGGCACAACAAATGCTTGTTTAAAGTTTGGCAAGACTGGTAAGGGACTCACTGGCTACGTGGATTCAGATTTTGCTGTCGATTTAGATAAGAGGAGATCTCTCACATGTTATATGTTCACTATTGGTGGTTGTGCTGTGAGTTGGAGGGCAACATTGCAGCCCGTTGTTGCCCTGTCTACCACTGAAGCAGAATACATGGCTGTTGCTGAAGCATGTAAAGAATCGGTTTAGTTGAAAGGTTTGTTTGCTGAGTTTTGTGAAGATAATTCTTGCATTAATTTATTTTATGACAGTCAAAGTGCTATATGTCTCACTAAAAATCAGATGTTTCGTGAGAGAACGAAGCACATTGATGTCAAATACCATTATGTTCGCGATGTTGTCGCGTAAGGTAAATTGAAGGTATGCAAGACAAGCACACCTAATAATCCTGCTGATATGTTGACAAAGCCAGTTCCTGTTGCTAAGTTTAAGCTTTGCTCAAGCTTAGTTGGTATAACTGTTTAGCCCAAGAGGCTATTTGACACCAGAAATATTTCTTTGTTGTTTCCGGGTAAAGATTCGTTTTATGCTACAAGAAGGAATTTGTCTTAAGGTGGAGTTTGTTGAGTTATGATCTAAATTCAGTTATGTACAAGATAAATGCTAACTTCTGCCGGAGCGAAGCGAGGCCCGTCACCAGGAGGCTTGGGGCGAAGCGAAGCGGAGGCTGAAGTTAGCCCATCATGTTTCCTTACCGCGCCTCGGGGGGGGGTGCGGGGGGCGGAGACCCCCACGGTATGGATCGTCGCCTATTATGATTTTTTATCTATATATACTTCATGTAAGCCGTCGTCTTGGGATAAGAAAAGTTATAAATCCCCGATGTTTGTAACCTCACCCGATATATTGAAGATTTGCCGGCTGGTGTCCGTGGTTTTTTCTCTTCTTTTTTGGAAGGGTTTTTCACGTTAAAATCTCGTGTTCCCTATATTTAATATACTGTTCTTCCTCGTTTATATCGGCTATCATTTCTGACAACAGGAGGCAACGAAAATACACTAGCTGTGCTGTGGCGTGGCTTCGGAGATGCTGTGCAAAATGGGTGCCTGCGGGGCTCAATTGTATATAGCTGCGCAGCCTTGCCGGCGAAGCAGTTGACCTATTGACCATTACTCAGTACCCTGTCGAACGGTGGAAATTGCCTCGATCTGCTGGACAAACTGCCAGTGCTGAGTTTTGCAGTTTTTGAGAACGAAAGGCAAGACTCACCTAGCGTACAGAGTTTTGCGGTTTGAGAACGAAAGGCAAGACTCACCTAGCTTACAGATCAAGGAACTGAGTGTCTGAGTCCTAATTGAACTCCTAAATAAACTACCGTGATCCAGATCACAGTCAAAGTGAGCAGTGGCCCTGGGCATGGGAGATGGTCGATGCTTCCTAGATATATCCACCAGCTGAAGGCGATAGAACACTTGTCCGAAGTTTGAATGGTAGTCCGAGGAGGTTGGCTATGCTTGCACTATAAGCATCACAGAGTATAAATAAAAGAAAAAAAACAGATGGATAGTAGTCCATCGCTACCACTTTTTTGTGGTCGCACATTCATTTCAGGTTCATTATATTTACGAATTTAAAAAAATATGGTGGAAGCCACATAATAAGGCTCTGAGTTGGACATTTGGCTAAAAAATTAGTCCCGCTCTTATATCAAACAAGCTCTGAGTTCAAGCATCCGAGCATGTTGTATAGCTGCGGAGAAGACAAACCATCTTTTACTGTCCAGTTGTCGATGCTTGAATTTTCTTTGATGCGATGATTTTCCATTGAAATCATGACTAGCAGTAGTAAAATCGGTGCTTGGATCCAGAGGTAGCAATGAATTAACATCCTGTAGGATGAATTCGCATAAGGATAGGCAATCAGAGGGAAGTAAATGATTAAGCTAAAAATATTTTTTAACACTTCCCTCTACATAAAATCTAATTAGCTCACATTTTGAGTTCTGGATAGAACACTACATCTCCACTATAACTGATGTCTACAAAAACCGTAACTTGGACTGACCTCAAACTTTGTGACATTAAAATATATAAAACTTATGGACTATCACAACTGAAATCACGCTGATAGGAGGTCTAGAGATTGAGATATAAAAATAACAAGCATACTATACCAAATGGTGACGAGTGTCGATTAGTCATATTTGAATATTCGAATCAACTTCATAAGCCGTAAAAGAAATCAGGACTAACAGTAGGACCGATAAGTTGATGCAGTGCTACAACAACACCATAGCGTTCTAACACCGGGACCTTGACTAGAACCCCCCCTCCGCGCATGTTCTCCATCGAGGCCAAGAGCAGCCCCATCTTCACCAGCTAGGGACTATCCCGGTGGCAGCTCCACGCGTGTTTTCCAATGGGGATGATGACATTCCAACTTCACCATTGGCCTTGGCTTCGACAGCTTCATGGTGCTTAGGGATGGGCTGCCACCTAGGTTCTAAGTGCTCCACTGATGTCTAGGGCTGAGTGCTCCATCGTGAATCGTGACGCCGACCTCTAGCCACGTCAGCGCCACATCACCAGCCACGTCAACCATGACCTATGGCGCCGAGCTCAGGATCTGAAGATGGGTTTTTGACGCCCAGGGATATAAATGTGAAATTTTGACAAAAAAGAACTAAATTGCAAAATATGCGGTACACGTAAAAAAAACTAGTGACTAGTGGGTCACACAGATGACATGAGAGAGAATATGTGAAACAAAAAAAATATTACATGTACGACCTATAAGATAGGATACAGTGTCATGTAATTGTGAGCCTTTGAAATCTTTGAAGAATTAAACATGTCGTGTCCTAAGATGAGCCTCCCTTAGGGATGAAGATCAGCCATGCTATCGATATCCTTCAAGAATTCGACAAAAGCAGCATAAGATGAGCCGCCTTCTTTGAGTGCCTTGACTGCTCTATCTTTTACCTCCGCCAGTCTATCTCGGAGTGCTTGCCCACCTTGAGACTCCATCACCCACTTAACCTTCGTCTCCACCTCCTCTGCCTTCACCATTTCTTCATCATAGCCGTTCATTTCCACCCCGATCTTCATCTCTTCCACAATAAACACCTTGTTCATCCTCTGCTCTGCATACAGTGGCCAGCACAGCAGGGGCAACCCTGCCATGATGCCCTCCAGTGTCGAGTTCCACCCACAGTGCGTAACAAATGCGCCCGTCGCTTTATGGCGTAGCACATCCACTTGTGGTGCCCAAGACTTGAGCACAAGCCCTCTGTCCTTGGTCCTCTCCAAGAACCCCTCTGGAAGGAGGGCCTCGAGGTCCGGCTCCGGGAGTGGCTGACCCAACGCGTCCCCAGGGTTGTTTCGTGGGCTCCGCACTACCCATAGAAACCTCTGCCCTGACTTCTCGAGCCCAATAGCCATCTCCTCAAGTTGCTTCTTTGGGAACGTGCCCAAGCTCCCAAAGGAGAGAAACACGACGCTGTTGTCTGGCTGCATGTCCAGCCACCGGAGGCACTCGTGCTCCTTGTCTCCGCCTCCCGAAACCAGCGGCCCGATGCAGTACACCGGCGGCGTGGAACGGTCAGGAACGCACAGGCCGTCCCTCAGAGCGCGCACAGCCCGCGTCTCCAGCGACTCGAAGGTGTTGACGAGAATCCCGCTGGCCTCTGCGAACAGGTAGAGCACGCGGAGGACGGCTTTTCCTGCCTGGCTGCCATTCAGAATCACTTCGGGCAGTTCCGAAGCTTTGAACGGAGGAGCGCCGGGGAGAGAGAGGACGGAGTCGTCGCCGGTGGTCTCCAGCTGGAAACCCGTGGCCATCATGCGAGGCAGGTTGAGGAAGACGGCCAACGTGCTGGCGCCCGAGGCGTAGAAGTAGTAGACGGGCAGGTTGAGCTCGGCAGCGACGCCGAGCGCGTCGCCGCAGAACATGTCGACGACGAGCGCGTCGACGGCTGGAAGCGAGCGGAGGAGGTCGCGCAGCGGCGCGTTCATGGCCTTGAGGTAGCCGAGCATCTGGACGACGGGGTCCGAATGCGTGTCATCCGAGCTGGAACTGGAATCAGCGGGGTCAGGCGGCGGCAGGACGTGGAAGTTCACGGACGGATTGGAGGCCGCGGCGCGGGCGGCCGCTGCGGAGAAGTCGGAGGACTTGGTGGGCGGCTCGGCGAGCGCGACTGTGACGGCGACGCCGTGCTGGGTGAACACTTTAGCCAGCTCGATCATCGGCGTCAGGTGGCCGACGCCGAGGCCCGGGTACAGAACCACGCTCTTCTGCTTGTTCATCGCTGGACGACTCGCACCTCAGAACTCAGAACTCCCTGCTGCTGCTGCCGCACTACGGGGACGGACCTACGCAGGTACGTGCGCTGGATTGGTGAATGAAATGTCCCTTGGAATCTGGAATTCGCGATGCAGACCATGGCGTATAAAAGGGCCCGGCGCGGATGTTATTGAAGTACAAACCCAAGATGCATTTGAAGTCATGCATGATGTACTGGTAGGGCCCTGGATGGACCAATTTATGATGTCTGGGCAATGTTCGTGCGGTGGGTAGGATAGTGCACGAAAGGAGAGGATACGTTGCTTCTCGAGGGTGAAGTCATGGAACGAATCACCGCGCAGCACGCACCGTACGTTATATATGGTACTGTATGTTCCGTGAAACATCAGGCACTTGTGTGTGCGGGAGCAGAGCACCAACGTCAGCCGTGACGCTGCAGGTGTCGGCGTCTCTGCTTGCGGCTTGCGGGTGGGCTGGCTGCAGACATGAAGCTTAGGCCTGTTTAGTTCCACTTCGTTTTGCTAAATTTTTTAAGATTTCTCGTCATATCGAATTTTTAGACGCATGTATGAAGCATTAAATATAAATAAAAAATAAAATTAATTATACAGTTTAGACGAAATCCACGAGACGAATCTTTTAAACCTAATTAGATTATGATTGGACACTAATTATCAAATAACAACGAAAATATTACAGTGCTCATTTTGTAAAAAAATTTGCATCTAAACTTGGCCTTAGAGTAAACGGGAGGTCTCCGTAACCTGCTAGGCAACCACTAAGAAGAGGCCAAAAGATGCTGACGCTATGGATGACAAAATACGAGGGATCGAGGAGCTTTCCACGCCTTTGCCGTCAAGCAGTAGACGGAAGGAACATGGTAATCCCCATGCGAGGCGGGTTAGCCGCTGGGTGTTGCACTGGCCAGCCACTGTCGGCCTGTTTGTTTGTTGGTTTCAGCCAGGATTTATCAACCGTTTTTCTCTCATAATAAACCAGCACCAGCCGACCTTATCAGCCCAGAAACCAACCAGCGAACATGCTGTATGTACGAGCAAGACACGAGGAGCTTTCTAGATGGCGCCGCTTTGTTGCTGTATTTCAGAACGGGTTTAGCGGCTGACGATGCGATCATTCAATTAACGAATTAATGTCCTCGCAAAGATTAAAAAAAAGGACGCACAATACATTCGTATATAAATGAAACAAAAGGAATACCAAAGGAGTGTAACTATTTTTCAACAGCATTGTAGACTCTTGTACCAAAGAGGCAAATACATACACCTCAACTCATAAGAGCTGAATGCTGATACAAGAGAGTAGAATTCATCAAGATTGAAAATTAGGTTGAGCATTTGGGGGAAAAATCAACGATTAACAGTGAAATTTTGGCAAAATAGTTCGAGAAATAAAACCTTTTGCCTTGAGTGTGTAAACGAGCCAAGTTTGAGCAAGCCTGGTACCTCAAGCTCAAGCACGACTCAAGCCCGAGATCTAGCCAAAGCTTATGGAGGGACTCAATCTTGGCTCAACTAGGCTCATATAACTAAAGCTTCATTCGCGCGGGAATCACTGCCCTCTAAAAGCCTTCATCACTGTCTAGCGCACTTTTTATCACTACTCAACACCTAGTGGCACTAGAGTCTTTGTATTTATTGCCGGGCTTGGAAAACAGGTCTGCGATAAAAAAAATCACCCTTGCAGCAGCTCTCCGCATGACTACCCGAGCACTCCACCTTTCCATCTACTCGCACCTTTTCTCGGGGTTGTAGAACAAACGAAGAAAGAAAGCCATTGCCTCCAAATGCCTCTTCCTCTTCCTAGTTTGTCCATTGTCCTCCTCGTAGATCTATGGTGCCAGGCACAATAAGCTCCTCATCATCAACAGTAGCATTATTCTCCTACCACCCCGCCATCACCTCTCACCCATTTGACTTTGGCATAAACGCCCTCGCTCCTTTAGTTCTCGTCCTCTCCGGGAGCAATGGCAGGAAACAAATTTCCTATGAATTTTCTAAGATTAAACCAGTTTTTTAGGATTTTTAATTTCATTGTTTTCCTTGTAAAAATATTTAGATAATTTTTTTAAAACTTATTTTTTATTATTTTTTGGATATTTTTGAAAAAATATTTTACCTTCCTCAACTTTCAACTTAGACTGGTTTACCCCTCTAACATGATGTTATATTAGCAAAAGCACCATCATAGAGAAAAATTGGACGACCGCGACAGTTGAGTAATGTAAATTGGACTTATTCCACGCGAAAACAGCCCATGAAACAGTCGTCCTAGTCTAATTCAACCCATGTGTAGCATAAAAAAAACAGTGCACGGAAATAGTCAGCCCATTCTAATTCAGCCATGATGGGTGGTGGCTGGTGGGTGATCACTCGACCAGTGGGCTCGATTTCTCCCATGTTAAGCCCTGTTTAGCAAAGCTTTAGCCCAATTTCTTAGAACTGGATATGTGGAGCTCTAGTGAAATCCTAGATATAGAGATGTAGATATATTAAGTGCATTTATATACTTTATTTCTTTTATAGTTTAGATAAAATATAAGTATATATAGTCTAGAAGCTACAATCCACCATAGATCTCAGAGCTAGAGCCATGCTAAAAAGACCCTTAATTTGACCTAACTGTTGGATCCAATTTATTTCTTCTACGAAAGTAGGCCCCAATTGATTAGTTAAAAATGCCGTCTCGAATGTGTGTTTTAGGCCATTACAAGAATTTTCTTTTTCTCTATTTCTTTTATCTTATCTTTGTTTCTATTTTTCCTTTGGCACATGTTTTTTATTGTTTATTTTCCTTACAGTTTTTATTTTTTATTTTTTATTTCTGTACTTGTTGTATTGTAAGATGCTTCATGAATATTTTTGTTCTTTATGTAGTATCCATAGGATAGGACGCATGAAATGTTCCATAGTATATTTTGCATCTTTTACATAGTATATCCATAGAATGTTTTACAATATTTTTTTTATTGATCATTCACAAACTACCCAATGCCCATGAGATATTTTATAATATATTTTAGGTTGTCCATGATATACTTTTTACTGTTCATACAGTATCATCAGTGCCCATAACATGTTCTGTGGTATATTTATTTTTTTCTTTTACTTATTCACCTTTTATCATTATTTTAAAATGTATTTTTCTTTCTTATAATTCCTTTTTCTATTTCATATTGTATTTGTTTCCTCTGATATATGTTTTTTTTTTGTTTTTTCTTGTTTATTTTTTCTATTTTTCCTATATATTTTATAGCATTATTTTTCTCTCCATGGTCTTGTGGTGATATTCACTTGAACAATTTTTCTATAGCATAATAAGATTATTCTCATATTATTTGTTAGACAATATTCTAAATTATCATTATAGTATTCTTGAAATGTTTAACGATGGGTATTCTGGATTGTTCACTTAGGGTTTTGAGATGTTCCATGATGTACTGGATTTTCCCAAAGTATATCATGTTCCGTATGTGGTGTATTTTCAATATTCCAAGAGTACCCGTGAGGTGTTCTATGGTGTATGTTTTGTTGTTGGTTACTATTACTTTATATGGGATGTTCCACAATGTATTTTCAATTGTTCACACAGTGTCTATGAGATGTTCTATAGTATATTTTAAAATGTTTGCCTAGTATCCATGGGATCTTTGATGGTATAATTTAAATATTCTCATTACGCATGAAATCTTCTCATTTTCAAATACTAGACACGAGTATTATGGAATAGTATTTACATGTTCTTCTAAATCTAGAATATTGTTCTTTTGAACCTATAACATTTTCCTTATGAAGGCAAAACGTTATTTCCTGAATCTAGAAAATTGTCTTGCTTAACAATGAGAAAAATGATCTCAATGAAATTTTATCTAAATATATCCAAGTGTTAATCTTATTTTGAAAGAGTTATAGTAAGAAACACAATGGTGCAATTGAAATTTAATTTAAATACTTAGTTTGGCAACTACATATTTTATTTTTTTTCAAAAAATTTCATCTGGCGCAGATGTCAGTAAATTTAGTTTATCCTTTTGTTGCATATATAATCTAAAGTTTAGCCATTAAACTTTAGCTCCTGAGGCTCTAAATAGATAGTCTAAAATGTTGTCTAAAGTTTAAGCAACCCTCAAAATACTATTAGTTTATTATACCATACAAGTGTGATAGAATGGTCAGTTTTGCTCTCTTCAACTTTTTCTCCTCCCTCGTAGCACCTAAGGGACAAATAAACCGAGGGACGCAGAAGTGTGCTAAAATGCTATTTTTTCTTTCACCTCTTTTTTGTTTTGCTTTTTTTCTGTATGCGGGTACAAATAGGGGAAAAAAATTGCTTCTGGCCTTGCCGCCTTGGGCACCAGCAGAAAGTGCAGGGCATCAGCTGCATGAAAAATATACAATTAAATAGCCTTGTGAGTTGTGACTAGTGGTATATCCCTCCTATGCCCTATACGAATACCATGCTACCGACAATCCCAACTACTCAAACTTCTTCGTGTGTGCTCTGTACATTGGTGACCACCTGGGAGGAATCTCTTCACAGTTCCACTGGACATTGGGGGTCCAATCTGCAGATGGAAGATTGGACATCACATGTATATGTACACAAAAATCCCCTTTCTTTGTGCTCTGGTTCATTTAGGAGCAGTGAGCAAAAAGTGCAGGGCGTCAGCTGTTAAGCATTTATTTTGATGGTAGCTTCTCCACTTTGCTCTCCCATGTCCTTCGTCCAGAACTCCAGATGAATAAACCAAAGACAAAAATGCTGTACACATACATAATATATCCTTTCTGCCCACCAAGTATTTACTGGAATTCAGAAATGCTCCTTGTGGAACTCAAATTTCGTTGTGTTTTTCCCATTGAATTCGTGGCACAGTTTGTTTAGTTCTTGTGCAAGAACTGGAGCTCCACAGTAGAATACACCTGCGTGCAACCAAATCATTTTTAAAAATAAAAAATGTATAGAAGGTACATAATTTATTTTCTTTTCTGGAACACACACGATAACTGTGCCATTATACTAATATTGCCATTAATTAATATAGAAATAGCTTGATTACAATGCACCCCACACACCCTTGTAAAGTTTGTTCATGGAAATGGAATTCTAAATAAAACTGAGTTGGTTATTCTCACTGTTTCGCTCAATCATGCAGGCCAAAGCTTAATTGCTATAAATTGTTAATGCATCTGCATCTTTATGCAGCGGTGTGTTTAACACAGATGAAGTTTTGATAAAGGACATACAAGTCATTCATAAATATGTGCATGACTCTATAAAAGAAAACTGAGAAGCTTAACCAGAATATCTGGCAATGTAGTATGTAGACTAACCTATCTTGGCATATGGATGCTTGGAGGAAATTTTAGACAGGACTTTTTTCCAATTTGGTCTTGCAAAGTGTGTCCGGACCTGCATAATCAGCATACGGATGATGATGGGAGTATTAGCTTATACCTTAAAAGGTGATTGTACACTGTTTTAATCATTTATGCTAACAGATGACAGGTAGAAAACTCAGCATTCTAACATTACTGACTTAACTGAGAGTGGAGCTGTTAATTGCTCTACTTACTTTAGTTCCAGAGACAATGTCAACGCCATTCTTTGCGTGGTTCAAAGCTTGAAGCATGGTGATGAGCGCTGACCGAGCATCCCCTTCCTCATAAACACTCGTGAGGTAGTTGTGCATCTCAATGATATTCTAGAATGAAGCAAAGGCAAACTGTAAGTAAAACCCACTTAAGGGAACATATTAATTCTGACAATTAAAAAATGCAATTCGAACAAAACAAGTGGTCAATTGGTGTACCCTTTGGTCCAGTTCAGCAATCTCATTCATGACTCCCTTGAACCAATCAAAAGAACCTTGCTCACGTGTAACCCAATAAAAGTAGGCATTTGTGGTCCTTAGAACCCTCTTTGATCTTGATGTGACTGTCATAAGTGTGCTCAGATCAATGTGCGGCTTATTCGGACCAACTGGAGGATAAAGATCAGTGGAAGCATCCTGCCAACACGCGGGCACACACATAAAACAGAATTGTTGTTTGCAAAATGCCGAAAGAATATTTTTTATATGTGATCTGTTATTTCACTAATGGGATTAGGAAGGTCCGATGGTGACAAAGTGAAGATACAGAAGATAGTAAATTACCTCCTCTTCCTCCATCCTTATGATATTGTTAAGAAGATCTTTCAGTATGCTGATAAAAGGAGTTGCACCAATTCCTAATCCAACAAGTAGAAGAACATCATACTTGCTGTAATCCTGAGCAGGAGAACCATAAGGTCCATCAATCAGAAGTTTTGGTAAGCTGCATTATCAAAAGACAAACATTATAACATGTAATTTATTAAAGACCTATTACACACAAAATCAAGCCTTTATGATTGAGGGCTCATACACTTTCTTGGTTGTCTCATCTGCTCTAAGAAGGCCACTTTTACCACCCACTGGGGGTTCACAAGCTGCTGCGAAAACCCTCTTGAGCTCTCGTGTCCAGTCACCAAGTTGTCGAACATGAATGCTGAGATAATTGTCCCCAGGCGCTGAAGTAATTGAGAACGGATGCCTATGAAGACAATGGAAATGCTCAGTGCTCAATGGGCTTCATCGAGACTATTTATGAAGCGTTCATGAAAGTTGGTAGTTTCTATCCAAGCAAGGGCATAATTCAATCAAAATTTATTGCTACAAGTACAAATTACCACTCAAAGGGTGACACTGCTGGACATTGAACAAACATATATTGCCCACTCTTGTACCGGAAAGCAGGAGGCTTGGACATTTGCAATGTCAACACATTACCAGGATATATGGCCACCTGAAAGGAAAAATAACAATAACTAGATTAGTAGGTCCACAGAAAATGAATGCTCAAGTTTCTCATGTCTTTTTGATTGACCTTCAATAGCCTGACAGAATAACTGCCAGACCTGAAGAACCTCAGCACCCTCTCCCCTACATACAAGCAAACAGGCACTGCCAGATACATCCATGTCTGCATCAGTAACAAAATACAAGAACCTTAGGGCTCAAACTTTGATTATTTCATGTGCAAAGAATGAAAACAAATATAAAAAAAAACTCACCGTTTTTCGGTACCAGACATGAATGAGGTACAGGAACTGGCCATGAACAATGAGAGCCAAATACACAATTATGAATAAGTGATGAGAGTACCAGAAGGCATTGAAGCCAGTCAGTTTGTCAAATGGTTTTGGAAGCTTCACTAGGCTACGGCGGAACCATCGTGTTGCTAAAGTGAAAGCAATAATCATACAGATAACCATAATTACACCAGTGATGCCTTCCACTCCTTTGACCAATGTAAAGTATGTTGGCTTTGTTTCACCGAAGTACTGGCCCAGAGGAGCATACTTCTCATTTGATGAATGTATAAGCCGTGGAAAATCACACACAAGGTGGTTCCCTGCATGGAGGATTATACCAACAACGATTGCTGCTGCAATAGTCTGCCCATTAAAACAACAAAACAAATTATTTTATTAGTTTTCTTAGTCAAAGTCTCATATTTCATATGTTGCATCTAGTGAGTAGCTTTCCATGTAATTCAAATCCCTGTAGCCACTAAGTATAGGCCATCTTCTACTATGATAAAGCTATTCTTTGGTAGTTGGAGATGAGCAAGCATATTTTATCATTGAAGGCAAAAAAAAGAAGAAGGAAATACTAGATGTGTTTCTGTACAGAGAGGATGGATCACTTCATCAACCAGAATACATTTTGTGTTTTGCGTAATTGTTATGCTCTGCATATAATTCATAAATAAACTGTTACAGAATTAAGCATCCCACTGGACATGAGTAACTGAACATACTTTTTTTTAGATAAACTGAATAAATTTATTTGGCTCACGATGAATTGGTACAATAAGTACACACATAGAATAAAAGGTACAAGAAGGGTGTTATATTCAGACTTCTACAGTGGGGGCCTCCCCTGCTGTATTCTCTGCTAAAAAAAACACCTATATTCAGACTCACTAAGTACATGATCTTTTTTTTAGAAAAATAAGGTTAAGCACGTGAAAATAAAGTTGAATATCCTGCATCAACATGAACAGATGATGCAAATGCCCATTTACTTCCTTTCAGTCCTAAATTAACTGATTTAGGTACAAATTAACTCATTAACATGAAACTCTGAAAACTATATTGGCAGGATAAAAAGAGGCACTGACAAACTAATGACTAACCTTGTGGAAGTTTATATTATCATCAAATGGTAATGCCCGTGCAGCCCTTGTATTTCTCAACCAAGTAATGGTGTTACGGCATACTGGGAGGAGGATAATTGCCATGTTCAGCTTCAGGGTTTCAGCAGCGCCTTTTGCAGTGGTCACGCAGTAGCCCATCACATTAAAGACATACCTGTTGCGATACTGCATGAACTTCCAAGTGAACAGTCCGGCCATTATTCCAATCCATAATGCAAGTACCCATAGGCGTTTCCAATTATCCTCCAAGTAGTAACTCAATGTAGTACTTATCTTGCGAATTGGACTCTTTTTCCTTAAGCCTGCTAGGTTCTGACTTAGTGCTTGGCTTGTGTAACTTAGCGCCTGACTGTAGTTCATGTAGGTATCCTTCTGCAACAGAAGGGTCTCCAACTGCCACAACTGCAATACCAATAAAACCCACACATTCTTTAGGAAAAAAATAAAGGCTACTTTAATAGTAATGGGTTAGATTAATAAAAATAATACTCTAGATTAATAAAAAATAATACTCTTTTAACAAATAATAGGCCATTGTTTCATACAAGTGGTCAAGAAGGAACATCATGCATTTGTAATAAAAAGCTGATAAGCGCACATCTGGAGACAACTAAGGCTGATGTAACTACTACAAGAGTACAAGTTAAATAAAGTGTTCTATATTATAAAACAGAAAAATGACCTCATCAGCTGAACAACTCGTGCTCTAGAGAAACAAGATTTATATGAATAAAAGCAAATCCATAATGTATCCCAAAAAATTATGTGTACATAGAATTAAAATAATTCTTCAAAAGGAAGTAAACGCACAATTATGGAAAAGAAACATCTACGCGAGTTATTGAGGGACTTTTCCCTTGAAAAACACCAAAAATTGAAGTGGCCTTACTGTACTGTATGAATATGTTAGCACATCACGTCAATAAAAAAATGGCATTTACAAAAGAAATATTTTTTCCTCAAACAGGAGAAGTGGTATCATTATATTAAGAGAAAAAATGGGAATAGATCCCATACAAAGCCACACCAACACACACCACTAGGATTTATAAAAGGCGTACCATAAAGTGAGTGTACTAAAGTATAATACAAAGAAATCCAATGGGGAAATAGGTGAAGAAATCCAACATCGCATTGGCCACTGGAAGGGTGACTCCCTTTCACCTATGTAGTTCATCCTATTCATGGTGTATTGTATTGAATTCCTTGAAACACTCAGCCAGTGCGGCAGGATTATTACAGCGACTACCAGTGCGAGGTGTGCAACTTAGGGTATCTCTGTATGCTAATGATGTAATTCTCTTCCTTGTGCCAAAGGGAGGAGGAATTGAATTTGATCCAGCAAATACTTCAGATTCATGGAAATGCTTCTGGGCTAAGAAAAATATGCTCAAATATTCAGGAACACCTATAAAATGCCAAGAGGAGGACATGGTATAGTCATTCAGAGTAAGTTGCCTTGTGAAATAAAACATTCATGCACTTATCTAGACTTCACAAGAGTTTTTCCCACCTTTGCAACCGGACCTCACCCCAACCCCCACACACCTCCTCCTGCATGTGGCATGCCCTCGCAATTTGCCTCTTTATCCAGGTCGCTCACTCACCACGTCCCACTCAGCTGATGCAAGTTTGTATGAATAATGTATTTTGATTGCACATTATCATTTATGGATTCCAATAATTTTTTTATAAATGAGCTGCAAACTTTTCACAAAAGGACAAACACGCCACCCAAAAAGATTGAGGACATTACATACTTTTGGCATCCACAAAAAGCAATCCAACCCGCCTTGGATCTCGGTTGCCAAACAGCCATTAGCTTTTGCTTTTTGGACCCTCAAGCTTTCCATAATCTAGGTTTTCACAATCCAAGTTACACAAGCTGCATTCCAGAATCTATAGCTGAAATAAACAAGGCCCTAATTGACCTATTATTCTTGTTGCTTGGGAACTAGCAAAACATCATGATGTGTGTTTTTAATAGCATCTCTCTGAATGCTCTGGCAGTCAAGAAAGATGGCGTTTTGTGTTGTGCTGCAGGGCCAAGGAGCTCCAAGCCCCTTAGTCCAACACTCATATCACACACAACCCATGTGACCCTCCGATAAGTTAACAGGCTCCCCTGTCACCACATGACCCCTGAGATTTTCTAGGTTTTTCGACCATGGGCTATGATACCACTTGTTAGAGTGCGCAGCAAATCTGACCCAACTCGCTATACCCACGAGCCGACGCCTCTTCAGGCCTAGGACACCGAAGCCCACAAGAAACCCAAGCTCAGAGAGCTACCTCAACCCAAAAGACACGTGGGGGTTGCCCTACCTTATATGTTGTGCTCCTCCACCATCAATTACCAATGTGGGACTAAACCTAACAAGTCTAGTAAACAAAGTTCGTGTGGACCTGTGTGTTGTGGCCATCCACTCTTGAGTAGTGGCGCATACGTTCTAGTTCTTCTAGGGAGGGGGTGTACGTGTTGTACTCATTCTCTTTTTCTTCTACAGAACATAAAAGCAATTATATCACTGTAGCCCTCTTTGGTTGTAACGTTTACACTAGCAGTACCTGGTGCTGCACATGGCTCATGTGACCACGATATCCAAAGTTTTTTGTGATGCCCATTTAAATAATTATTATGTCTAGAGAAAGTGTGGATTGGACTTGAATCACCTGGTGCAAAGGATGACCAGGGCTGGTCTACCCCTGCCCACTATGAATGTGGTCTAACATGACACGTACCACAGAAACCGAAAAGGCCAATGCCCAATGAGAGCATCATGGCCCAGCAGACAGTACACTCCCATACTATGTCAAGGTTAAAGGGGGAAGAAGGATAGAAACACCACAATTGACTCTCATAATTAGCCCGTTGTGGCGGCTAATCTGCTGAAATCAGCATGCCAAACCTTGTGCCTTTCAATATATGAAACAATCATGGAGCACTGATGAATTGTTTTGACCGCTTCCTTTGGAGCGTAGTACTATTATTTTTACTATACTACCACTGTTCCAAAAACAATGCAATTCTAGGTTTAGAACAAGTCAAATTTTCTTAAGTCTAATTAAGTTTATGCATGGAAAATAGTATCAACATTTATGCCTCTAAACAGGTTTTCTATGAAAATATATTCTATAATTATATAATGATACTTTTTTGGTAGCTTAAATGTTAATTAAAACTGTTTGACTCCTCAAGAGAGTTGAAGTCTTTTGGGGACTGAGGAAGTACAGACAGATTACAGCACTCTTTAAAAGAAAAGGAGGTCAATGGCCATGAGGACGTGGTGGGGGCAACAAGCTGTGAACTGTGAGCAGCAAGGATGACATTGAACACGGCAAATGAATGAAACATAAGAAATGCATGCAAGCTGATCCATAGCTGCTCACCAACTCCGACATAAATGATGACGGGAAAAAGGATTTTATTGGGTACCACTTCCCATTTGTTTTTTGTATCGAACAGTAGATTAACTGCATGTACTCAGACACTAACATTTCCAGGGGCAAAATTTTATTGCTACCACAGTAATGGGCAGCCTCTTTGGCTGGTTATAATGCGGTAGCGCCTAGTAATGCGATAGAAAATGAAGTTTAGATAATCAAAGACAAGTCTTATAATGCTTGGTACTAATCCACTATCATGTCATAAGAGACAAAGCCGCAGTCAACTACTTCTCAAGGTGCAGTGTGCACTGATCAACATGTACGTGAACTAGCTGCCAAAATCCTCTATGAAGCTAACCAAATACTGACACTTCTTTCACCTAACTATTGTCACCACTGTTGCTGGCAATAAACATGTGGTCAAGAGTCAAACTGTTTCACTGCATAATCGTGTGATTGATTGCTAACAATGTTAGCTTACCTCAATGTAGCCAAGTCCTTCAGGATCAAGCTCCTCCATGATCAGGGCGGCATACTCTTCAGCTTGCTCCTTAAGCCTGGACAGCTTGTTGGCAGATGCACTTAACATGATAATCTGGAACAGTAGAAAGATAAACACCAGTTAGTACAGTGTTGGAGGCATGGAGCGCAAACTCAGCGTGATCTCATATTTTACCAAACCACTGGAAAGTAACCCATAACAGCATATGGCTGATTCAGTTCCTAACAGTGACATCGTCGAAAGGCACCCACATGCCTTTCAAAAACTACTTAGCTCACCAAGTCATCATTCAACGCATTGCTTCAGCGGATGCAAGAAAAAAAGATTAGCTGGCCTGTCGGAAATGCCCCTTACCTACTGCCGCTAGACTGCAGGCTGCCATCCACTGAAAATTTACTGGAATGCCCTCACACGTTCTAGAAAGAAGGGTGCCCCTCTCCTGAAGGCTTAAGAAAAAAACGAGTGTCCTAAAACTAGCAGGTAGGAGTGGGTATGGCGTGATGCTTTCCACGCCGGTTTCGCTCACCGACTACGATTGGACGCAAATACTTTTCGCGTACACCCTTCAACCCTGCGAGGATTTCCTCCAAAACCCTCCTCTTATCGGATTATCACAGGTTAACTAAGATTTCTCCACCACTCAAAAATAATTAAGAAACAAAAGTAATCCGTAAGGTCTGCGATATGGATGCGCTACCTATTCGGAGAACAAAAACAGATATTGCTGTGGCAGTGCCGAGAAATTAGACAGCTCAATGGACCAAATATAAAACTCTTGCCGTCAAAGGACGCCTAAATGATCCGAGTTTGATATCCCCAAATAGCAAATCAGAAAAAAGAAAGGACGAAAGAAAAGGGAAAGAAACTGCTTGTAGTGCAGCACCACCAACTCCAAGCACAGCCATGGGCATGGGTGTTTGTTGCTTACCTCTTTCACCTCCTCCTCCCCAATCCGGCCGTCCGCGTTCTTATCCACCCTAATTAAAAAATGGCAAAATCAATACGGTTATTGAAAACAATAGACGAGTCTCAAAGTAGCTAGCTAAGAGTGGCGTAATGGTGGGCATGGTAGCGGGGTGGTATACATGTCGAAGAAGATCTGGAGGCGGGAATCGAAGCTGTTGTCCGTGATCTGCTGCCAGATCTCGCGCAGCTCCTCCTTGTTGATTTTGTCGACCTGCATCTGACGGCGGCGGCTCAATGTGTCAAACAGCTCGAGCGCGAACTCTTTCGATTCCGTCATCCCTGCACGTGCACGTGCAGCTCCCAATGTTTCAACGGCGAAGGGAAATGGGGGAGAAAGTCGAGGGGAGGCAGCGCGGCGTGGTGGTACCAATGCATTCCGCGAAGTCGGAGCGGGAGAGGAAACCGTCGCAGGCGAGGCGGTCGAAGTTGGCCTGCACCTCCATCCAGGCGTTGTTGGCCTTGTTGCTGCTGATGAAGCGGAGGCCGCGGAGCGCCTTGTGCGCGCCGAAGCGCGTGCGGTCGAGCTGCGCGCGCTGCCGCCTCGCGGCGCGGGCAGCGAGGGCCGACTCGATGCCTGACGACGGCTGCTGCTGCTGATGCCCCTGCCCTTCCGCGCGGCTCTGGGTGCGGCCGAAGCGCTTGGTGAGGTCCTGCGAGAACTGGCGCGCGATGGACATGGCCTCCGCCTTGAGCTCCTGCGAGAACTGCAGCAGCCGGTGCGACGAGGTCCGCCTGATCGACGGCGACCGGGACCGCGACGACGACGACGCACCGCCCGCATGGTCCCCGCGCGCGCCCAGCGGCAGCCCGGTGGCGGCCCCCGCCGCGGCCGGCTCGACGCTCCGCAGAATGATGGTGTCGTCCTCCTGCAGGTCGAGCGTGACCTCGACCAGCTCCTCCCCGTCGTCGGAGCTGCGTTCGGAGCCCCGCGGCGAGGAGCCAGTGCTGAGCGACCGCGGCGTCGTCCCCGCCGAGCCGCTCCATCGCTGGTGGCCCGGGGCGGCGCCGCCCCTCATCGCCGACCCAATCAGAAGCCGCTTTCCAGCGCGGCCCCCGGAACAGTCCAATGCTCGCAGAGGAGACGCGATCGACTGCTGGCTGGATGGATTTTGGGGATTGGGGGTGGCTTTGGAATCTCTGGGGAAAGGCGCCCGCAACGCGTCCGAGCGGGAGCCGAGCCGACGAAAGAGGAAGGCGCAACGGGAGAGCAATATATGAGGATGAGGGAGGAGGCGAGCACGGTGGGCCGGCCCACGCAAATGCACAACTATATTGACCATCAACAGTAGTACAGGACTCAGTGTAGGTCTGTAGTACGACCACCCTAGTTCTACTGCTACTAGCACGTACTAGTACTACACTTCTGCCGATTAGCCCAGCACAAATTCGTGGGGTAAAAGAGCAGTCTATTCGTGTGCTTGAGAATCTGACATGAGCATTTTCTCCACCAGAAACACTTCATAATAACTTTTCCCTTGCTCCTCACTCTGTTTTTCAACCAAAATCACTCCATCACAAAATCAAAGAAGTGTGTAGCTCTACCAAACTTGTCTTAAGATATATAACCATGATTTCTTTCTTTTCTTCAGTGATGGAAATTCATCGAAACCTTAAATTCTTGTAGGAAACGAATAATCCCCTGTCGTAAAATGAGGCCATACGATTACTTATGATTTTCTTATGCTGAAACCAGTTGACCATCTGAGCATTATTGTATTAGCCAGCTTTTGATTAACGTGGACATGCCACCTAGAGCTAGTATTAATTATCACTCATAAAATGACTCCGTATATCTAGGAATGCAAAGATGTATTCTGACTAGAAAAAAGTTGTACAAAATAAATTTGACCACTAATTTATCTTGTTAATCGATAAAAAAACAACAACTAAAAGACACTTTAAATACAAATCTATTAGTGCAAGTTATTGTGTCCTTTGCATAAAATTTGACTATTTGTTGGTTAAAATTTGTAGAATTTTGGGCATATGGCTTTGCCCTTGCCATAATTGAAGATGGAAGTGTCCACCCCAGCGGAAACCGACAGTAGTGGAGGCGGTGTGCGAGCTGTGGCCTTTTGTGTCCATCGATGATAAGGACTCCTCAGCTTCACTAAAGGCATCCACACCCTTGCGCACCTTCATACCTTGTTAGAAGAATCTGCCGCCATGACCTGAGAACTCCAAGAGCGGGCGATGGTGCTGGAGCTTGACCCGCCACCACCTTGGTTGGATCCTCTGTGGCTGTCGACTCAGCCCTAGCGCCTAGGTCTGAGGGTTAGTGGGGATCCTTGGCTCCCCCACCGGCAGAGAGATGGAGCGTAAAATCTGACTCGTGGGGCTCTATCCCGGGTTAACAATGGACATCAGGAGGGAGTCAAAATCCATAAGAACGAAGAGAGTGTGGAATCTTTTGGCCAACTTTAGGCTATCCAATCCTTGTTCCTGCTATCTAAATCTTGGTTCCTACAGTCTCCTCCTTAGGTAAGTTGTTCTAGGTTTAGAAAGAGTCGGTGAAGACAAGAGATTTCAAGCTAGAGGACTTATCATTCCCGATGAGGAAATCAGATCATATTGACGCCTAGCAACCAACATCAGTTTCTCTATGGATATTTTGAAGTAGAAAGGGCAGAAGAAAGCCAACACAATAGTATTCAAAGAGGACGATGGCTAAGGGTGGGTGATGAGTCTGGCAACTAGAGCCTAGGCCGAGGCCACCACCTCCCCCACCACGCTAGAGGAATGAATGACATATTCTAACTAGGAAAAAGTCATACAAAATAAATTTAGCCCTTAGTTTATCTTACAACATGTTGTTAACCGATAAAAAATCAACACCTCAAAGACACATGGAATCCAAATCTATTAGTGCAAGATTTTGTGTCCTTTGCATAAAATTTGACTATATGTCGGTTAAAACTTCCAAAATTTATCTTTCTCCTACTCAATATATGTGTTATATTTCTGAATAGAGAGAGCCGCAGGGTTATCTCTTTTTTGTTGTCTCTTTCCTCCATGTAGGCAAAATATGTCATGTAACGTGGCTATAGCCACTCATCACTCATTATACTTGCTCTATATGATATTTAAATCATGTGGATTTTATAGAAATTTAGCATGACCCAAGTATAATTTTCATTTTTTGGCTGAAACACTTCAGCCGACGTGTCGATTCACTTTGTAGCATAGAACCTTTTTTAAGGACGGCAAAAGTTTTAAGTAGACTATATTTGAGAAAATCTATATAGCTCTACTCTAATCAAGGTGTTCGGCTACAGGAATAAGTTGTTGTCACTATAGTGATTCGAGATAGAAGAAAGAGTCACAGCTGCTGCTTCTACGCTTCCGTGAAAGTGGGTCATGGCCCCCCTTGGCAATTGATTTTTTTTTCTTAATGATGTTTATGGCTAACTCTTAGGGAGTCTTAGAGATTTGCACACTAGAGATAACATGAATATTGTTGGCCCCCTCTTGAATCTCCTTCGAGCTCCGCCACTGAGTTGGAAGGGATATATCGTGCGTCAAGGGATGTAGTTCTGTAGTTTGGTATAAAAAGTTTGTTCGTTGTACTTTCGGCGGCAGCAGCTGCTGCAACTATTGAACTACACGATGCTGTAGAACATGCCCAAGGGCCAGCAGTATCGTTGTAGGTAGCTAATATAATCGAGTTTAATCGAAGAAGCAGGCCGGTACCCACTGCATACGGAATGTCTCTCTGCAAGTCTGTACTACGCAAGATAACTTAGCAGAGAGAATCGGCTAAAAGGTGCTGGAAACAGGGAACATAGATCTGATATTCAGATGACTAGTATATACTTGTATGCCATTTAAAAAAAAATGGAATGTGTTTCGTAAGGTTGTACCATATTCTTGACGTGCTACTTTACCTACTGCTTGGTGATGAGTAGTAGTAGGTGGCCATGCATGTTTGCCTACGCACAGAAAATTATGGAGAGGTGCACGTACGGTTGGCATGGATTCCTTCGTGTTCATGCATGCCTTGGATGGTTAAAGCATTGTCGCCGAGACGAAGCCATTCGTGTCTCGGGAGTTCATTGGCTCCAAAGCCAAGAAACAAGGCGCGTGTTTTTTACTTGATATTCATGCAGGCTGCAGCATCACCCTTCTAGAGACAGATTTTTTCCCTTTTAGACGTAGAGAGAAAAAGACTCTTGAGTCATATATTTTGTCACACATGTACAAAACGTTTTAGAGAGGGAAACAGCTAGCGCCCGGGCGTCCGGCACCAGGACGTGTCCGGACGCAGCTCCCAGCCTGTAATTTCACCCGTCCGATGAAACCGGCCCGCAAAAGAAAAATGATTCGAGCGAGCGCGTCTGTCCCCGCATAATGGAAAGGAACGTGCATGTCACTTTGCGGCGGCCCGTCCCCGCCACGCCGCCATCCCCCACTGCGCTCCGTCCCCCGCCGCGCCGCGTCACCTCCATGCCCGTCTCTGCTACGCCCCATTCCTGACATGTCGCCGATGTCGTGCGCAAATATGCAACATCCAGATCTACTTTTGAAATATTGAGATACAACACTTGCAACATACAAAAAAAAGACACATGAAACACTTGAAACATACATCTGAAACACTTGTAAAAACACCTGAAAACATTTGAAAACCATAGCAAAACATACACAACATACAGATAAAACACTCGCAACATATGCATTAAACGTTGGGAACAGAGCTTGCAACATACCTCTGAAACAATTGCAACATATGCAACATCTCGATCTACTTTTGCAACATCATGATGAAACACTTGCAACATTGAGATGACACTTCTGAAACACTTGAAACATACGCTTGCAACATGCACTTTCAACACAATATCACCTTGCTGTTTGGATGAATGGACGCTCGTCGTTGGAGCTGGACACCGACAGCACATGGAGCTCGCCGGTGCAGCAGCGGCGCGGCCCTCCTGTGATTCTCAAACGCCAACGCCCACTCGTGGCCCAGGCTCACGCCCATGGGCGGTGCCCCTGTTCTGCTACTCCAGCGCCGTTGCTCACTTGGCCGCAGTCGTCCAGCATCGTCGGCTCGCGGGGGATGGGGCGTGCGGTCGGCCATGGGGTGCGGTGCGGTGGGAGGAAGGGCACAATGCGAATGGGGATGGGGCGCGGTTGGGGAAGGGGCCGCAGCTGGGCAGACAGATAAGCAGCCATGCCGTAACGGTGGAGATTTTTTTTTCTTTTTGAGAGGCTGGTCCGCTGCGGACTGTGAGCCGCGTCCGCAGTGGAAGGACGCCCGTGCCCGTGACGGGGAAGAGGCCTGTGATTAATGACACACATATATACGGAGTACGTACGCACTATACTACATCATGACATGAATGCTCGTCCCATTCCAGACCATATATGTTCGCTCGTTGCGTCATCCATCGTCTGGAATGCGAAGCCGTCGCGTCTTCCGTGATCTGGAGTCCAAAGCCTTGTGTCGACCGTCGACGTTGTCGCTGGCTGCCTGTGTGCTCTCCAGTCCAGTTACCCTGCTCTCTAGTCTCAAATCCTCGATCCGATCTATCTTGGTGAGTGGTGATCTAGTTTGCTAGTTTTCTGCTGCTGGGCACTTACGGTCTACACTCTACAGGGAGGAAGATTCAAAATTGTTTGTTTGCTTGTTTTGTAGTAATTTTGTTTTTTTTTGCTACGAATTCACAATTTTTGTACATTCCAACTCATATTAGCAAATCCCCCCGCTCACAATTTTTGTACATGTCAACTCATATTAGCAAATCCCGTGCACCCCCTACCCCCTGTCGATGTTTGACCACCGATAGCCTGCCACGGGGTACCAAGGGCAAGATATTTCAAGCCGGCGATATCTTTGAACTCGATGGTAAACGCAAGAGACAGTCAATTTATCCTGGTTCAGGCCCTCGATCGTAGATCGAGTAACGACCCTACGTCCAGTCGGCGTTAGCCTTTGTGTTGGATTGATTATGAAGTGTTATGTTGTACAATTGTCGTCCTCTCTCAGGAGCCCTACCCTCCTTTATATAGTCAG